GTCCCTTTCCTATCGTGCCTTCCATCGTCCTAAGTTTCCACATTTTCCCAGTGAGAACTATTCTCGAAAACAATTACGACCCTGTTCCCCTTCCCCCTTCCTGATGAGATTCTCTCGACCGCGGGGCAGTCATGAAAATTCAAAAGCTTGGCAAAGACGTTTAATAGATAATAAAGGCAATTGAATCCTTCACCTTGGCAGGTGCAGAAATACAAAAGCGACAAACAACAGCATTCTGCTTTGCGCAGCAACATGAAACACCGCGATGGAGAACGAGCGAAGTTGAAGAATCAAAGAGTCCTTGGGAAAAGTATGGTGTAGTTCGCTGCGGACGGTTGGGCGTGTCAGGGGGTGAGTTTGGCGCGGTGCCAAACCCGTTCTCCACCAGTTGTTAAAGCGAGCAAATGATATGACTGTATCATATCGTTCGTATTACTCGTTTTCTACCACTTTTTGTCGCATGCGCGCTTCAACAAGAAGGCAGAGAACGGCTTTGACGGGGTGACACACTCATACTGCCTGACACGCCCAACATCCGCAGCGAATTAGAGTACACTCTAGTTCGCTGCGGACGGTTGGGCGTGTCAGGCAGTATGAGTGTGTCACCCCGTCAAAGCCGTTCTCTGCCTTCTTGTTGAAGCGCGCATGCGACAAAAAGTGGTAGAAAACGAGTAATACGAACGATATGATACAGTCATATCATCTTGCTCGCTTCCAAACTCACCCCGCCTGACACGCCCAACCGTCCACAGCGAACTACACTATACATCTACTCGAAAGGCGGCGTTTATACTTTGAACCACCGTGCCCAGCGTTTTGACCGTTTCGAGTGTACGCAAGAGCCAGCGACTAGAAAAGCATAGGTACTGAGGTACAAGCGTATGCCAGCGTTTGAGCGACTAGGAAAGTATAGGTATAGGGAGGTAGATCTTGCATATGCTAGCGTACGGCAGGGTTTTGAGGGCTCGCGGGTAGTTATGAAATGGTGCGTACAGCCAGTGGAAACGCTGGCGGACGTTCAAAACCCCAGATAAATCTTCATACTTTCCTAGCCGCTCAAAACGCTGAATTGATATCTATACTTATCTGGTCGCTCAAAACTCTGTCGTATGCTAGGTCAATACCCATACCTTCTTAGTCGCTTGAAACGCTCGACATGCTTGCGTAAGCCCGAAATGCTGACGCTAAGCATGAACGCAGCTTTACTCGAACAGGCCTACGTAGCTTGCCAGCTGGCATAACAAGTTAAATACAAACTACAGAAAAAAATGAAAAAAACTAACTGTGAAAACCGTTGCTGAGCACTCTCGATAGCGCTTATGTTTGGCTCAACGCAGAACGCATGCTCATAACTTTGATAATCCGCCTTTGTAGCCTCGCCATTAATCATCTCGCACGGCTCATCCATTTTCTGAAAGGAAAGGTGGCTTAGAATGAATCCGTGACGTTACCAAAGACCCAAAAGAAGGGCATAACGTATTTGGGGAGGTGGGGCGGGGGCGAAGGACTACGCGACTGCGCTTCTTATCCCTTCTCTGAAAAAGCTTTGGCTCCGCTAAGATGAACAGAGGTGCCGATAAATAGTCCGGCAGAGAAGTCATAGCCTTCCTGGACCGAAACGTTCATTAGACGAAGGGATACAGAAGCGCTGACGAGTCCCCCTCCCCCCACAACTTCGTTAGCCTCCGAAAAAGGTACTCGATCCGACCTTAACTGACGACTATGGTGTGCTGGAGACAGTTCCGAGTTCAAAGTTCTATACTATTTACTTAAAGAGTTTAAATAAAACGGCGCATGCAGACGTGGGAGCCGAGGGAACAAGGAGACAAGCCGTCGGTTACTGTGTGCTTTCTGCAGTTTTGCAACTAATCGTACGAACTTTTGCAGGTAATAGCGCAGCTTCCCCCATTCTTCCTTCGTTTCTGCTTCGCCCCTTTTTCCCTTTTTCCCGGATCAAGAAGGATTGTGGTTGTGGTTGCTGTTTATTCGAGAGATAAATTTTTTATTTTTTTAGGGTAGTCAACCATATTGTTGATCGGCATCGTCCATTGTTGCTGACTTCATACACCTCCAATAAAATCGGGGAACCAGAAGCATGAACCAACATCGAAATCGCCATGTGCGAAAGCTGAAGAAGAAAATCAGTGAGCTCTTTCTAATGGGTGAACTCTCCGAAGAAGAGGCTCGAGCTATTGAGGAAGCTGAAGCCTCTACTGCGGCTCGAAATGCGGCTTCCTGTTCGAATGCAGATGCTTCACGCATTGATTTCGGTAAGCTGTATAATCGCTTCGGTGCCGTTCAGCGACGAGGTAGGGGGGGGGATTTTGCACATTAGATGCTTCCAATTGACGTGTCGAGCCATCAGTTAGGGATTTGTGAAATTTTGTGAAGCACAACTAAGAGTTGGTGGGACTGCTTGTCAACTCTGTAAAGAGTACCTGTCAAATCTTGTAAAGCAGTGAACACGTCAGCGGAAAGCTGCGGAAGTGCAAATTTCTCTCACCCTCCACCCCGTAGCCGATGCGCCATCACTTCTTCTTATACGGGTTTTCATTATAGTTATTCTTTCAAAAATCACCTCTCTTGCTTCAGCCACCGACTCTTCCATGAAAATTTCAAGGAAATTGTCTGCCGCGCGTCAGCAACGCCAGCCTGGTCCACAATTAACGTTAACGTTGGAGCGCCTTGGTGGAGTTTACATGTCAAGCCCAGGTGATTTTCCGCAGTCATAATTCTTTCGTGCAGTCTGGTTTCAGTGCGGATGATGGGGCGTGTCCGCGCGGCTGCGTTTGGCACGCCGCCAAATTCATTCTCTACCAGTTGTTTAGAGGCAATTGGCACGATCAATCCCACGACGCGTAGGCTTAGTACGCCCAGCAAGCGCTTCGTGGCGCCATTCCAATGAACGTACCCCTATTGTGTCCTA